CCCTTAAAATAAGCACACATATAGTAAAATATTTTGAAGAATTATATTAAAACTGAAAATTCAAAAATATAAAATATAAAACAAATTTATTAAAAATATTATCTGAGCAAAAACGAATTAACACTAAAATATGGAGCTAAAGTTGCCATCAAAACTTTTTTTTGATTTAAAAGATTTTCAAAGTTACAATTCTGGTTTGCTTTTTTTTTTTTTTGTCATAAACATTTAGTTCACAACATGTGATTTTTCCGATCACAATTTATAAAACATGTTCTTTGCTTTCAAAAATAACAGAATTGACTCCATAAAACACCAGAATAAAAACATGTTACCCTTAAAGTGTTCTTTGTGCAGAAAGTCCGACCAGGTCTTGGTACGCTGGTGTGGAATTCAGTTTTCTGATCCAAATATCCTTTAATGATAAAGGGTTATTTCTGTAGACCATTGCAAAAACATTTCACCCCTTGAACATTTTTTGTATTTTGCCATCTTTGAACCACAAACTTCGCTGCATTCTGGCCAAGAATCTCTGTAAAAGACCAAAACATGTTGTGCAATAGTGACGTAGGACGAAAAAATGAGGTTGTTTTCAAAGGTAACCAACTTCCACTCTAAAATAAACCAATCAGTGTTAATTGACAAGTTCACTGCAAAAATGATCTAGAAATAAGTAAAATTTTCTTAAATTAAGTGCATTCACTCTGAATTTGAGTAGGTAAATCAGATAGTTTGCCAATGGAATGAGTAATTTTACTCTTAAAATAAGATAATTAGATAATATGCACTTGAAATAAGACAATGCAATTGTGTTTTCTTATTTTAAGTGTAAATTGCCTTGTTCCATTGGCAAAATGTGTTTTTTACCTCCTCAATTCAGGAACAAATGCACTTATTTTAAGAAAAAAATGACTTATCTAGATTTAGATTTTTTGCAGTGTAATTTGTGAACAAAAAACAAGGAACATTTTATGTATTAGGGTATAAAAAGGAACCTTTTTTTTTAACTACAGTCTCCGACCAGTTTTTCTTCTTGGAAGATTTTTTTGTATTTTTCCTTGTATCATAAAACATTCCCAGAGTATGATAATGCCACCAGCATGTCATGAGGATGTTTATTATTACAAAGTCCTTGTTGTTTGTGACCAACTGCAAAAAAAAACAACTAAAACTTTTAAAACAATGTATCATAACTTAATTTCCATTTCATAAATAAACCCAAACATTTTTGACCCATAAAATCTCAGTGAAATATATTGTAATCTGTGGTTGCAATGCAACGCCCAGCACCTACTGTACATTAGCGTCAAAGTAACAGCCTGCTGTCCCTTCTTGGACTCAATGATCTCGACAGATAAGCTGCTTTTAAAATAAAACAGGGCTTTTTTAATCCAAACCACTAGTCTGTTGACTGTCTTGGCATACTGTTTTTTTTTTTTTAGATTTTCTTGTGAAACCCTGCTGCTGTTTTAAAATCAGGTGGATAGCTGACTTAGACTTAGACAACTTCTAATTGTCATTTTGTATACACAGAGTTTATAAAAAATGAATCTTCATTTTGCACAGTTTTAAGAATATTTCCATTCCATAAAGTGCAGCAGTGATCACATGTAAACAATGTGAGAGAGAAAAACATGGTGCAAAAGCGCATTGATATGGAAGTTCATCATTAATCTGCAGAATCTGCAGAGGCAGCCTTCGATTTTCTCCCAGTTGGTGAACTGCACCATCAACACCTTGGGGCTTATTTAGACAGCGTTACCCAGAGTCATGGAGGTGTCTGTCAGGCAGGGTCTTTGCCCATCATATCTTGCTCTTCAAAGCGCCGCTTTAGGTAAACCATAATGTCTAGCTTGTCCTACTAAGGCCCAGTTTGTCTCTACTCTGACAGTTGTGTTTGTGAACTCCAAGTCCCTTCATCAATCAAGATCAGTGAGATCCCAGGGGATGATTCATCTCTGAAGGTGTTGGTGGACAACAACAGTAATACCCTGAAGCTTCTTTCTTCATGTCTCCCCAGCAGGTTCTAACTGTGACAAATAGTTCTCTAGTTTACAGTGCTTTTTTCGTGCATTCTTACCTTTAAAACAAGAAGATTTAAACATTTTAAAGGGATTAATTATGACAGACCAACATCCAATCCACTTTATTTATACAGCATATTAAAAAAATTTTTTTTCAATATACTGTACATAAAAACCAACAAAAAAAAAAACCAACAACAAACACACAAAAAGTTTAAGATAAATAAATAAACAAGAAGCACACAGAGGACCCCACAACTATGTGGTGTTAAAAGCCAAAGAGCAAAAATGGGTCTTAAAGGTACAGAGGACGATGTTTTATTTCCAGGTGGATCATCTAAATTACTGGTCCTCCTAATTGTCAATCATTCTGTTATATGTTTATGTATGGCTGTCCTGTTAGCTATCTTTTTCTGCACATGCGCACTATCAGGACCTATATATCGTGAGCTACAGTTACAGACAGTCATTGAAGCTCACCTTTTTCACTGCAGTTTTTGTAAAAATGGCAGAAGGTCGCAAGAGAAAATGTGTCTACAAAGTGTATGAGAAGAAAAGAAAGGCCTTAGAGAGGCAGATATATCCCTGAATGCTTTGCACGGAGAACTCTTCTCACAAAGCATTATGGGATTTGCTGTCACTGGTTCCCGTTGTCCCAATAGGCTGCCGCTACCCGACAGCGGCGACTAATAACAAAGATGGCGCAGGCACCCACGGTTGAGGAGTTTTGTGACCAACATGGAGCGAAAAGTAGTGATCATCTATCTGAAAGGTCAGTTAACTGAGTTCACTATAAAGTCCCTGCTCTATATAGAGATTGAAGGATTTAGGGGTTAGGGCGGATGTTCGGACGCAGTAAGCTTGTATGTCCTATGAGAACAGCAACTTTTAAACAGAGCATGCACAAGGAGAAATGGACTTGTGCACACTGCACACTTATCCTTCAGTCTAATTTAAGCTATAATACATGGGTAGTGTAATATTAGTTCATATTTTTCTTATTCACATTAGTTAGGTGTTTTCTCTTAGTTTTGTTTTTTTAGTCACCCTTCTCTAAATTAATTAGGTTTAGATTATCTCATGTCTGGTTTAAGTTTTTAAATGGGTCTGTGTCATTCAGCTGCTGCCTTTCTTGTTTGCCACCACTCCAAGTCAGTTCACCTGTGTCCTACCACTTAAATAGCTTTCAGATTTCCTTCAGTCTTTATGGGTTCCATGCCACTGTACCATTCATGCAATGTCTGTTTGCCAAGGCCATTTTAAAACCACTTGTGTTTGTAATAACAAACACCAGTTTTGTTAGTATTATATTAACCTCCGGTTCCCTGGCTGCTCCCTGGTTCTTACCATCCCCCCTGAGGTTCAAAGAATATCAGAAAAAACTGAACAGAAGCAGAAAAAATGAAAGAGAAATATTCAAGTTTGGATGGATGGATGTTTTTAAGGCAATCATGAATACCTTTACCTCTAGTATATTTAATGAACATTTTCAGGACCTTGTAGTTTTCCTTCACTTTGAAAATGCCCTAAAAAAATTTCGACTCATTTTACATCAGAGGCGTGACTCTGCCATCTGGTGGCTCTTTCACTTGTTTCACATTCATCAAATATTTTTTATGATACATTCTTCTGTTAAAACGTATGTTTAATTTTTCATCCCAAGTCATGTGCAGCTTTAAGCACAAACAAATTTACAAAGAACAAGTGTTTCCAGTTTCTACATCACGCCTTAAAGTTAAAACAAAACTTTAACAATTTGTTTTGACTTCTACTACTTATTTAAAGTTAAATGCCATTGTTCTCATTTTTTAATTGTTCTGTGTTTTAAATTTTAATGTACCTAAAGCACCCTTTTTTTTAGTTCTACCTGTAAGAGGAATCACACTTCATGTTCACTTAAATGCGGGAAATAAAAGTAATGTGACTGTAAAGAATGAGCAGATATAGTGACTGTCTATAAGAAGCTAAACATAGTTTCCTTTTCCTCTTTTCCCTTAAAATCATTACATAACTTGTAGCAAGATACAATTTTGCTCCTATATGGTTTTGTTTTTTAAGTAGGACAAGACTTTAAATGATTGTTTTGCAGTAGTAAATGTTTTAAATCTGTTTTCTAGCTGCCCTCATTTTAAATGCTTCAATTTTGGAAGCTTTGGTTGAAATAGGGGAATTCTTGAAGACTCAGATTCACCACAGAGCGCCACAGGAAATCATTTCTGCCTGTGGTCATCAATTTCTACAACGCCATATTAACGCCCCTTAATTTAGGTGGTGTTAATGATGGCAGGGGTCTCTCTAGGTTGCACCCTAAATTGTATCAGACCTAATTTTCTTTGGTTCTGATAGTTCAGTTAAAGAAGGCTGTTTTTTATTATTATTGTTTTGGATCCAGCTGACCCAGAGTGTCAAACTAAATACCAGGCTGCAGGTTTTCCCAGAAAAACAAGCAGAGCAAACTCACCCCGCCTGTTTCCAGAAGTGATGTTTCTTTATGTTGTAAATAGGTGTGCTTCTGTGGAACTGCTGATTATGCTACTTATGTAATGTATTTTTGTTCTTCATAAAATTGTTGTTTATATGTCTTATGGGGTAAACCCAATTTAAGCAGTCTAAATTCTTGTTTTTCTGAATTTGTCCCGTGTGACCTTCCCACAGCTCTTCATTTTCAACACTAGAGGGCAGCAAGGGTCTTACTGCAGGCAGCAGGGTGTTATATAAGCTGAGCTGCTGCTGTATAATGAAGTATGCCCATGATAACTCAGCCTTTTTTTTTTTTACAAGTAGATGTGCTTGTTCACACTCCATTTCCATAAAAAGCCCCAGAATCTGCAGCATAGAAGCTAATTTTCCACCTTAGTTTTCATCTGGGTTCTGCCTGCTTTGCTGAATATGCTCCATCAGCATATGCACAAAGGTATACAGCATCTTTATTTGTGGAGGCTGAATCACAGGTGAGAAGATATATTAAATCCAGTGAAGATGTTGGAGAGAGGTGCGTCTTTCTAAGGGTGGGTGGCCACTAACTGGGTTAACACCGCCTCCTGAAAACCCACTGGGATTGTAACCGGCTTATGTGTTCCACTGCTGAGAAAAGGGAAGCAGGCTTTAATAAAGCAGTTTATTGCAAAATTAACTCCAGTTGGAGAGTCATATATGATCCACTTTAGATATTTACAGTTTCCTGAATAAATTATCATCATAGTGCTTCTAGTCTCCCATCACGTTGGCACATCCCTCTGATGGTTCCTTGTGATGACGTTGAGGCTAAGATCATCGCCCGTCAAGTCAGCATCAGTGAGGGACTCTGGAAAGTAGTCTGCAGGGGTCTCCAGGGTGGGAGAGGGTGGGTCAGAGAGCTCATAGCGCTTGACCGACATTCCTCCCCTGAATCCCCTCCACTCCTTGATCCACTGGTCCCTGGTAGAGCCGTCCATCCGGTCCAGCTGCCTGCCTTGCAGGAGCGGGGAGGGGGCGACCGAGTTCTTCAGCACATGAAACGTGTACCTGAGGGAGAGAGCGTGGTGGTGAGAAAGTAGGCCAGGGAAAAACATACAGGCTTTTGATGTAAATCGGAGCGCTCACTCTCTCTGAAAAATCAGCACTTTCAGAGGAAATGGGGAGGAAGATGTTTGAAGCTGCAGCTGATCCTCACCCTCTATATTAACATTATGTATTCAATAATCTGCAAACGTGTTTGCATTATTTCTGATCTCATTTAACGATTTGAACAAGTCAAAAATTAACCCAGATAAACAATAATACAGGTATGATCTGTTTTTATTGAAAAATGTGCACTAATATTCAGTGAGGACCTCAGCAGCCATAAAAAAAAATCAAGGTTCATAATTTTAAGCCTAAGAAAAAGAAAAAGGAATGGTCTATTCTTCCTTTCTATGCAGAGGTGTAGCCAGAACCTTTTTATAAGGGTGGCCAGGCAATAACCAATGTACACTGAGGGGTGGCCGACAGTGGCTAGGAGCCAGAATCTCATGGTCAGTCTACACTGTTCCAACTGAAAAATCAACGAGCAAAACATCCAGATTTTCTAAATAAAGAAAAACTATACTTTCCTACTGTCTTTCCAAACAAATAGACGCATATATTTAAACATATGTGCTTTCTAGATAAAAGGTTTAGTGGATAAAATAGTTTCAGGTTTGAGTTCTGCGGCAAACCTCTTTTCCATAGTCATCACTTATCTACTTTCATCAATAATCCTTCTGCTTAAAATTGATATTTACAAGTACTAATATCTACATAAATTGATTAATATATTATGAAGACTCCTAGATGACTTGCAGAAACAGATATTTCTTTCCTTACCCCATAAGACAAAATCTAGTTCTGAAAAGAGCATGAATTCTGTATCTGTCATTTTTAATGTTAGTATATTGATATGATAACCACATTAACCACACATTAACCACAGTGTTTTTTTTGTCAAGTAATTGTTAATATATCAATATTTGTAATATTTTGAATATTCCACTTTAGAGTATTACTGCTTCCACCGTTTGTATTCGAGGGAAAAAATGGTAGGGGTGGCCAGTGATTTGCTAAGGCCACCCCTGGCCCCCCACCTAGCTCCGCCCCTGTTTATTGACCTTCCAATTTCTTTTGAGATAATGAAATATATGAATGAATTTATTAATATATTATTAAGCTTTCACTCTGCAATACCACTATGTTTCCATGTAGGGGTCAATCTTTGACATGATTAACATTTTCTATGGCTCTCCAGCTATTTTATAACTGCCTTAAACTGCAATAGCATATTTCTGCCATTTTTCCATTGTTTTTCAAAAAACATTTTTTTGTGATAATTTTTTTAAACATGTGAAAACAGAAGATATTGAAACAAAAGAGAGTTTCTGTTTTAGTTAGATTAAAATGCTAAAAAGTTAGACAAAACAGTACCGGTACATGTACATTATCTGAAAAAGTTTGCGTTGCCTTCAGCGTTAGGGATTTGTTTAAATAAAAGAACGGGATAATAAATCACAGCATGGCAAATGTAGGATGGAGGATTGTACCTGGGCAGCAGAGCCACCACGGTGGTGAGGGTGCAGATAAGGTAGAACATGGGGTCAGCCATCTGGCTCTGGAGGATCCAGTAAGGATTGGACGGAGGATTACAGGTAACACAGAGGGCACTGTAGGCCAGCGTCACCACGAAGTACAGCAATACGCTGCCCACCATAATAATCCAATGGACCACCGTCTACCACACAATCAAAAATAAAAATATTATTATTAACATGTTTAGGTCAGAGAAGAAGGGGAAAAAATCATGGTTATGGTGAAGATCAGAACTATAACAGTGCATAAAACTTGTGACACAATTACAACACCTGAACATAAACAGACCTGAGGACAGTATTCTTTTCTGACATTTTGGATGCCCCTGATTGTGTAACTGAGTGTGCACCAAATCAATAGTGAGTGGAAGAGCTTCCTGAAACCTTCAGAAAATGTCCGTGGTGCTTCTGTCTCAAAAGCAAATGGCTGGAGCAAAACTGGAGGTTTTACAGGATAGTTTGAGGAGAAACAACCGCCAGAGATATGCTTTTTTCAGCTTTAAAAAAAATCACTTTTTGTCATTACACTGTCACAAGTACAGCGCTACAAAATGAACTCTCTGCATTTAACCCATCTCCTTGGAGAGCAGTGGGCTGCCACTGTGCGGTGCCCAGGGACCAGTGTGGGTTAAGGGTCTTGCTCAGGGATCCAGAATGGCAGTCTGTGGGAGTGGGGCTTGAACTCAGAACCTCTGGATTCCTAGCGCAATACCCTAAACACTAGTCCACCACTCCCTCAGATGCTAGAAGGTTGTAAATAAAACAGAAATTTCTGAGCTCTTGAAACAATGTCTTATTGAGATTTAAAGTTCTCATTATCTAGCTTCTGTTAGCAGCTAGCTGTGCTGCAGTGCTAACTATTAGGGGTGTGCATTAGCAAGAAGTTGGTGATATCATATATATCACAATCCTGGTGTCAAAAACCGATTAAAATTAAAATACTAATTAGCGTTACACCAATACCGATACCATTATTGGGCTGGGCCCTGATTCAGCACTAAAATGGGGTTATCGATATTGCCGAGTACCAACAAATAGGGCACTGATACCATTTTGAGAGCCAAAAGTTTATTCAACTGTTGTCACCCATTCCAGGTAGACAATAAAAAGTTCTACTGGATTCACCTTGAATTAGTCTTTTTCCTGCTTCACAAAGGTAGGCGGCAGCTTGACAAATCCATGATGGCAATTATTTTACATACAAGTAGGATGCAGTTCTTTATATATACACACACACATCAATTTCAAACAGATGGTATCAGTATGGTATCGGTATTGGCCAATACTGCACAGCCAGGTATTTTTGCCTATAAATATTTTGTATATTTAAGATTGATTCCATATTTTTAATCAAAATCATCTAATGATATATCAGGATATTTTAAATTTATAAGACTACAGTCTAAAAAACTTTCTCGCAATATTTGAATTGATTTAGTAGATTTCTTTTCTTACACCCCTCCTATGGCTTGTAACGATGACTTGTAATTAATTAGGAACATTTAAGTGGCCATTATATTAAATAAAAAAAAAAAATCTTTAAATGCTGCTGGAGTAAAACTATCGTAGAACTAAACAGCCATTTTATGAGAGACTAAAACCCTGTCAATCTCAAGCTTCCCTTTGTAGTAGCATGAACTTTTTTTTTCATTCCGTTATCTTTATACACCCTTTAAGGTCCTGATTTGTGTGACCATTTGCTGTAATCTTTTGCTGCTGTAATGGCACAATTTCCCATTGTGGGACAATAGAGAGAACATATTTATATTCTATTCTAACTTCTTAAATGTAATATACATTTTTTAAAGGTTATTTTTCATTATTTTTTTCATTCCTACCTCCTGTATAACAAGACTGAACTACAGTCATTTTCCTTATAATTACTTCTACCTTTAAAATACAAATTTGTTCACTGCTGCTTGTGTAAAGTGATTGATAAGCTAAGCTGCTAAACAAGAAGGACTGGAGGACTGGCAGTAGCCTGCTTCCTACACTGAAAGGCAAGGCAAGGCAAGGCAACTTTATTTGTATAGCACAATTCAGTACAAAGACAATGCAAAAACCTTTACATGCTTGAAATATAGGAAAATAAAACAGAATCAAAGCAAGTAGGAAAAAAATAAATAAAAAATGCAGAAACAAAAAAGAACATTAAAAACTGTTGGACTAAAGAAAATAAAAAAGTTGAACTAATGATGTTTCAGTTGAACTATTTACCTAGAACAGTTGAAGACAATCCTAAACAAATGTGTTTTTAGTCTTGATTTAAAGGAACTCAGGCTTTCCGCACTTTTACAGTTTTCTGGAAGTTTTTTCCAGATAAGTGGAGCATAGGAACTAAATGCTACTTCTCCATGTTTAGTTCTGGTTCTAGGTATGCAGAGCAGGCTGGAGCCAGAAGACCTGAGTGGTCTGAAGGGTTTCAGTTATTCTGATGTGAAGTATTTGTGGTATAAAAATGTCACATTTTACAAAAGAGAATTATATAAGAGCAAGGAAACAGAAAACAGTGTTTGTAAGATTTGGAGAATACATATAAATATCAGAGCAGCACTCACCCAAGATTTGATTTCTATGGCAAGATGCAGTAGGATGGTAAATAAAGCAGTCGTGTTGAGTGGCGTTCCAAATGTGAAAATATCAACATCTGAACCCTGGTAAGCCTGAGGGAGAATCAAACATTTAGTCTAATGTTTGGTTGGTTGGCTAATGGATGAGTAACTAATGTGTAATGATAAACTGATAGATGTGTTTCTTACCCAATACGGAATAAAGAAGCAAACCAAACTTTGATAGAAAGCATCCAATATGGAAATCCAGAAGGTTAGATAGTTGTAATCCTAAATCAAAGAGACAAATATTTATATTTAATTACAATAATAATAATAATAATAATAATAATAAAAAAATAATGAGAATTTCTTTCTTCCACTAACCCCTTTTCCTTGCCCGGTCCTGTACAATTCAGGGACCCCCTGCAGCACCTCTGCTGAAACATCCTTGTCAAAGATGCCAAACATGATGGGTGGGGTGGAGGTGAAGAACAGGTTGAAGAAGATCATCAGCCAGTAGTCGATCATGGCCGTGGCGCTGAACCCACAGAAGAATTGATACCAGAAGAGCAAATTCACGTAGGCCTGAGGAGCAGCGATTCATTAATCATCAGAGCAGAAGGTTCATTCATAGGGTCTGATTAGAACACGGCACTCACCACGTTCTTATAAAAGAAATAAATGATCATGTTTGCCAGCCGAGTGTAGCACCAGTGGCCATGGACGAGGAGCAGCTTTTTTAGGTGCTTAAAGCGTGATATAGCAAAGTCGCTGGCCATGACCGCCTGAAATGACAGAGATGAGTCTCATTTTGATCATTCTGGGACAAGGAAGGAGGAAAACATCTTTACGGCCAATCAAAACCTTTCCCACCTGCATGCCTTCCTGACCAGATATCCCAATCCCAACGTCCGCTGCTTGGATCATGTTGACATCATTAGCACCATCGCCTGAAACAAAAGAGTAAACTTCAGCACCTGTGTAGACACTTATTCTATTTTTTCAATCTAACACTCCACATCTAATCTAACCCCAAAGTCAGATAGAGTGATGTTATGAGGTTCAACCGCTGATACGGGGAAAGACTGTGAAATACAATCTCATTGCTTATAATAGGTGAAAATAAAGGTACCTAACTTTAACTAAATGTTAACGTAGTTTGTCTAACGCAATTATTCAGAGCCATTGAATGATTTCATTGACTGGTTGATTGATTGACTTTATTGATCTCACAGTGGAGAAATTTACTTGTTATATCAGCTCAAGAAGATTGTGCCAAAGGAAAAAGGGATATATAGAATGTATATAGTGTGTCCAAATATGACAGCTTTTCTTTCCTTTTTTTTATAGTAGGATTGTTATACCAGGTTATTGCAAAGGGTATTTATATGGATGGATATTTATATTTATATATATAGTTATTGCACTGTGTGTCAGATATAGAGAAATAGGTTATTGCACATTAAACATGGCAAGCTATTGCCATTGTAGTGTTGCATTGTATAGTCTGGTTGCAGCATGGATGAATGACCTGCAGTAGTGGTCCTTTTTAGGTACAAACAGGTTGTAAAAGTCTTTCTCAGCTCTACAAAATTGCACTTATTTTGCATGTATTTCAGGTGCATGATATCTAATAATCTTATTTACTTGTTGCTTTGGCAGATCATCTTATTTACCCGCTCAAAATAACAGCAAATACACTTATTTTGAGAATTTGTGCTTTATCTATAGATCAGTTTCTGTAGCATATACTTTTTTTAAGCACACATGTTTGTAAAACTCATTGGATTTAACCTGAAAGCTGAAAACAGCTAAAATGAGAGGGATGTCTTTTCCAGATTGATTTTTTGACACCTTAAACTTTGCAAATAAAATTCCTCTGATTTGCACCCTGCTGGTTTTGCTGTTTAGTTTGCTTTTGCCTTAAACCAGCTCAATGATTGATAGCATAGCTAATCACTGATAGAGTCAAGATAAATCAATACAACATAAATTATATTTTTGTGATATGACATACCAACAGCTAGTGTCATGACTTTGAGTTTCTCCCTGACCAGTTTCACCACTCCACTCTTCTGCAGGGGCGTTACGCGGCAGCACAGAACAGAGCGGCAGCGTTTCGCCAGGTCCACAAAGCGCCCCTGCAGGTCTGGGGACATAGCCATGGCTAGAGTGTTTCCATCGATCACCAGAGAAGTGTTGGGGGCTGTGTCCACATTTCGAGGGTCCTCCCCGTACCTCCTGACCTCCTCCAGAGTGCAGTCCAGGATGGATGTACATGCAAGCTAAAAAACAAACAAACAAAATAAGTCAGATTGATTTGTGTTTTTCAAACAATATTGCTAAAATGTTGCATTTTTTTTATACAATCCAATAGAATGTGCTTCAATGATTCATTATTTTTAAGTGCCTTGAATATATAAAATATATTATGATTATTTTTATTACAGATCTTTGATTACAGATCTTGGTTAAGTCCATTGGGGTTGTAGGGGAGGTGAATGTGTGAGGTTTCTCTCTAGCGATCACTGAGTAATGGCTGTTAAAAAAAAAGTTCATTAAAGTGTATTTCCTGAGAGGGTTGCATATTAGACTGGTCATTAGATATGAAAGCATTAGTTATAGTGTTGGGGGTATCACTCCATTCGTCATCAGTCACCAGTGCCTCCAAGGGTCCCACAGCAGTCCCACTTATTCCAGACAGATCGGCGTGTATCCCTTAGAGCTGCCAAGTCATTTCTATCCATCCAGGGGCAGAATGAGGACATGGTCATGTCATTATGACAGGCTTGTTCCTGTGCAACCACATCCTAATGACCTCAGTGAGGTAGGCCACACTCCACAGGGCTTATGTCAAATGGTAGGAACTTTTTAAAAGGAAAAGGAGTCAAATTAGTTAAAATATTTAAATTGGAGGAAGGAATATTCCTGAATTCTGCAGCTCAGAATATCTTTTTCAGAAACGTCTTAAATTAATATTATAAATGAGGTCTCAATGTGGATAGAAATATTAATCAAAAAGTATTACAGGGTTAAATATGTTTAGGTTTTGATTTATGAGACTAATGAAAATTATTGGAATTCATGTTTTGCTCAAATGTTTTGTTGTACTCTGTCATCTTTACATAAATTTATTTTGCATGACATCACATATAATAGAATAGAATAGAAAATCCCTTTTCAACAGACATTATAGTAAAAGGGTCAAACAAGTGTAGACATTCAAAATGTATAAAATGTATAAAAATAACAGAATCGAGTGATAAAGGTTAAAATGTTAAAGAAGAAAAAAATTTCAGTTTAACCAGATAAAAAGGAACAGTAAGTTTCCTCATTTGGCTAATTTTTTCCATCTTTTATTCTAGGCTGACACAGTGTTGGTTTTTTGAAATATGTAGAAATAAAAGGTTAAAATATTCTTGTCGTACGCCGAGACATCTTCTTCGAAGTTCTGACCCGGCATAAGAAATGCTTGTTGGGAGCTTTGGTCTGGGCATGATTGAATTTGTTTGGCGTAATTAGAAAAAGTCCACACCTAATTAAGGTCCTAGAGTCAATTTTCTATGCATTAATGTGGGAGGTAAGTGGCTGGGAAGGCTTCAGTCCCACCTCTACACTAACTGAGGAGAGCATTTGTGTAACTCAATACAAGAAACAGCAAATAACTTTTCTTTTTTTTTTTTTTGCAGAAATGCTGAAAAAAGGCTTTTTGTACAAATTTTACAAAGAAAGAAATCTAACTTACATATAAAGAAAATGTAAAGGAATACATCATATCTATAAAAAATGTATTGCATACTTCATCAACTGGGTCTGTTTAATATGTAGAGGATATTGTTTGCAAGTTGAAGAAAAAATACACATGAACTGTGGAAGTTTTTCTCAACATAGATGGTATTTGAAATGTGAACAGTTGTATCTCACCAACATGTCTGTTTTTTTTTTTAAATTAGCAATTACAGCTCTGATCTCAGGGAGCTTTTCTATCTATATCTATCTATCTGTCTGTCTGTCTGTCTGTCTGTCTGTCTGTCTGTCTGTCTGTCTGTCTGTCTGTCTGTCTGTCTGTCTGTCTGCCTGTCTGTCTGTCTGTCTATGAAACAAGCAGCATTCAGAGAATGAGGCTGCTCACCTTGTTTGTGCAGCTCATGTTAATCACCAGGTCTTCCTCCTCCAGTAGCCTGCAGGCATAGCCGATGTTGACAGCCGTCTCTGGCTTGTCACCTGTCAGCACCCACACGTGGATCCCTGCCTCCCGCAGCGCCATAATGCTGTCTGGGACGTTCTCCTGCAGACGGTCTTCAATGCCAGTCGCTCCTGTAGGAGGACAAACATCCCGAAACAGTCAGGCACCATTCGCACAATGATCTCATCACGAAGAAATGCCTCTGTGGTGCTGGGAATGGTCAGGTTGATGAACGTTACCTAACAGGGTGAGGTTTGTCTCCAGCTGCACAGAGGTTTGCATGATGAGCTCCTCTCTGCTCTCTATAGCAGCCCGAGCCCTTTTCCTCTCGCCCAACCATCTTTGATACTCGTTTTCACTCACAACCTGTCACAGATGAGGGGAAATTAGGAAAACAAGCCGTTCTAGGGTGAGAAAACAATGCTACTATGATATACTATGGATTTCATACTTTCTTTGTGATGCAGAGTGTGCGGAGGCCCTCCTTTGCATAGCAGTCAAGGTGATGTTGAGTATCAGCTGCTATACTTTTCTGAATGCTGCTGATGTTTTCTAGAAATAGAATAAAACACATTTACGCATACAGTGTTAGCTTGATTTATTAATTATGAAATAGATATGTCAATAAAATTCCCTTTTCCTGCAGTTTGTACCTGCATAAGGTGTTCCAAGTAGCTCCATTATGGCGTAGTCTGCACCTTTAGTGTACAGCACATACTCTTTGGTGATTGGGTTTCTCACCAAAACAGACATCCTCTTCCTGTTGGAGTCAAAGGTCAAGGTTTCAAGGACCTCAAACACCAGCTCCTCTCCAGACGGGAGCCTAACAGTCACACTGCCAGGAGTGCGTGCCATCAGGATGAAGCCGTATGCTTTGGCTGCGTACACCAAGGCGGCCTCATCAGGGCTCTCTGCCTCATAGCACAGGTCCTCTAAGGCTGCTGTAAGGGCGGCGCTTTGAGGATGAAGAGAATGTGTTTGGAGTCCGTTGGAATCTGCTCTGCTGTCCGTTTTTGAAGAGTCTGTAACTGGAATTTCTGAAAGAGTGCGGTTTCTGTTGGATTTACGCTGAAATAAAGTCCCGGCTTTTTTCACCAAGTTGGAAAAGGCCTCCAAAGGGTTGTTCGTCTGGCTAGATGGAGCAGACGTACACACCTAAAACCAATGTAAAAAATATAGCAATAAATTACAACACTTTTTGACATGATATGCACATTTTAAATTAGCTTCTTTATTGTTTTTTCTTATTTAAGAGGTGGGAAAAGTGCTTTTCAAATGTACAAACAGCCACATCGCTTTATTATAGGTTTAGGGTGATAGACTGAGATCAAGTAGTAAACATGGATTTAATTAAAAATAATTTCTATCTGTCTCGTCAGACTGTAGAATCACATCTAAATCCTTTTGGGTATGTTTCTGCCAACCTTCACATCTGAGACTAAATATTTTTGATTACTTATATTTGCTCATAGCTCACAGATTAATTGGATTTAATTTTTATCAATTTAAATTTTGCAATACAGCAGATTTTTTATAGCTTTCCAAACATATTACCCCTTTACTCCAAAAATAACAGTGCAACCGACTGGCGGCCCCCTAAAAACCCATATATTTAATTCACTCTATGTTAAATCATAGATTTTTTTCTAACGACCTTATGAGATATTTAACTATGTAATTGTGGATTACAGTTTAATGTAGATAATGTAATGAACAAATAAATAAATAGAGCATTTAATTATTTAATGGGACGTTGACATTTATGTATTATGGCCCTATTTTATCTCAGGGATCACATCAAAATGATTGCGAAAAACATCCCCCCTCTTTGGGACCCATCACCTCATATATCATGTTTTTAATGTGTAAATGTGAGTTTTTATGGCTTCTTCTATACAAGTCTTCCTTCTTAGGTATCTGGTGCACTGCTAGGGCTCTGATTAAATGCCATTTATGCTATAAATTTAGACTTCACATATCCAATTGTAAAAAAAAGAAACAAATAAAACATAAGCCATGTACCCTTTTCTCTAACTTAAATAAACACGCACCTTACTTTTTTTATTCTATATAAATTATTAATTAAAAACAAAACAAAAGGCGTTTGTGGCCAAAATCTGAAATGTGTGTTATTTCAACTTGCCTGAGCGACCAGTATACTTGACTTGTCAGTTTTTAACTTTTTTTTTTTTTTCAAGATATAAATTCATTACTTTTAATTACTTTGTTTTCTTTCATATGGAAGTAAACTCACCCTCTGTCTGTGATCAGTTGCCAATGAAACAACCACCGTGTTGCAAATGGCGAGAGCCAGGAAGAAGTCCAGATGAGGATCCATCCCTCTGCTACCGTCTCTGCGGCCGCTGCCACTCTCAGCCCTGCTAATCTGCTCCAGCAGCTTCTGGTCTGGAATCACCTCCGTTTCCTGGAGGAGCAAAAGTTAATCAGTTTTGTTAATTAAATGCCGTCTGTATGTCGATAAACCTTTTCTCGGTTACATTACGTTCTCCCTAAGCTGACGTAATGGACTCAGAAAGTTTTTAATCATTGAAACTTTCCATCCAGTTATGACCAGGGATAAGAAGAGGAAAGAGGTATTAATATGTTTTTATTGATACAAGCATTCTACTCTACTGGAGATGAAGCATGAGGAGTAAAGACGGAGTCCGTGGTGAGTTTTTCTGCCTCTGTATCTCATCCCCTTGCCCCCTAGATAAAAATAGATACAGAGAAACTGTACTCTATATCAAAACGGTAATGACTAATCTATAGCGCACATTAACAGTTGATGTAACATTGGTAATCCGTGCCAAATGGTACTCAGTGTGACCATATGTCCCATCACAGACACTGGGGCAAAGCTGAGCAATCGCTGACACCTAGAAGCTTGACCATCTGCGGCGGGCAGAGGGACCACGAGGCCTTTGACTCAGGGATGAGTCAGATTTGGGTAAACATCGACAAGGGTTTTCTTAGTGCAGATTTACACACTTTAAACGAGTAAGAAAATATACTCTTACTGGTTTAAAATTTCTAAATTTTAAATACAAAAATAGAAAAAGGACTATAATAATGGACTGTGATGTTTGATTTGCCAAGCGGATTGATCTTCCTACCAGTGGGCTACTGAAGGCCACGTCGCTCTGCGCGTTTGCCGCCACCTTGCTCCTGTGCCTGCTGCCATGGCGATGTGTATCTATGGAGCTGATGCCCTCAGCTTCCAATGACCACCTGGTTCGTGGGAGTTGTTGATGCTGGTTGAAGATAACCTCCTCCTCGGATTCAGGCTCATCGAGGACAGCGAGACGGATGGCTGGAAAGAACCAGAAGTGTTGACAAATTACCACATTGCATCATGTCATGGAAGAGTCATTAAAAAGGTTAATAATCAGGCTAAATATTCCCCCCCCCCCCCCCCACTAATATTCACTCTTTTTAATGTGTTACCAGGGTGTTTAAAAGTAGTGATATAGTATATACACCTGAGTCACTCAAAAAAACACATCAAGAAATATACTGTTAGGAGAAGGCGAGAGACAAAAACTCATATTAAACAAACTATTTAAGTAACAAATACACAACAGCAGCACATAAATTGTTAAATTGAAATATTTCAAGGCGAATTAATGATTTAAGAAGGAATTTATTCTAAAAGGATGTCTGAAGTTGCACTTTAATGATCACTGGGCTTTACAGCAGGTAAAACACCTCCATCCATGCATGGTTCATTTTATGACAGAGATAAATAACAAAAACAAAAACTTTAGCCTACATTATGGTCAATTGGGTGAAACAATTTCAACAAGCACAAAATAGTCTAAATTAATTTCATATAATTTAAAAAAAAACTTTGAATTAAAGCTTTTTAAAATGTAGTACTGATTCCAACATGGGCAAATTAAGTATTTTAAAATGTAACACCAATTATGACCCCTATTTAAATTATAATAACTGTAGACCATAGAAGATATGGTTCATTTTAGACATAAAACTACATTTCCTCATGCTAGTATAAAATCAGAATAAAGACAGCTATTTTTAATGATCGATTGCCAAATATGCACAAAACAATAAAATATGCCTCAACAACTTTTTTATTTTTTGGTTTTGGGTGTGTTCTTAGTATTACCTAAAATGTTTTTCTTATTTCTCTTAAAATGATGACACTGTTTTTAGTCACTTTGCAACAATTTGAATCCTATTCTTCAAACAAACTCTCCCGATCAAAATAAGTATTTTCCTGTACTTGTACATAAACATTGTATCTCTGTTTATTTTACTTGGACACTTACCATTTCATGACAGAGATAAATAATGATAAAATAATTTTAAATTCAGTTTATAATGTGATATAAGTAGCGCCGTTCCTCTATCGATTAAGGTTTTGTTCCGTTTTCTAGACAGGGGACAACAGGGGCCAGTGTCTTGTTTTGGCCCCTGTAAAGAACAAAATAATAATGTAACTGATTTGCCCAATTTAAATAACCTTAACAGTTTAATTTAACAATCATTTAGGAATTAGGTTCATTACTTTAAGTTTCAGCCTTATTAAAATGGATCAAAGTTAGGAAACTTTGATCATCTAGATCAAAGCTTCCTAAACGTTTCAGCCTGTAATCCTAAAAAATACCAATATATCAGACTGGAGGCCCCCTTAAAAAACACAAAATCACTTTATTCTGATATCAAGTGAAAGGATATTTATGTATATTATTTATTTAGATTTGTCTACTTTCATGTAGAGAACAACACAATAATTATAATGAATATATAACATAAATATAAACGTAAATATAAAAGAGATAAATAAAAGAAATTATAATTATCATGTAAAACAACATACATGACCTGTGTAATTTAACTTTTAGAAAAAAATATATTTTTAAATAAAGTCACATCTTTTAAAAAAAAATGTAAAATGTATTTTGGATTTTCTAATGGGATATTTAATTGTAAATTTTGTATTAGACTAGTAAATAAATGTTACGTCTACTTATTTTATGGTACATTTAATTATTTCATACAGAATTTTGTCGTTAATTATATTTTTTTTATATCACAAGGATTGTTAAGACCATATTGGACCCCCACTTTGGGAGCCCCTGTTCCAGAACAAGGGTCTTATCTAATATACTAAGTAATGTGCTATTTCCCTGCTTTTGTGTTATTCTTTTGTTATGTCCTCCATGACCATGTACTGACCATTCCTAAATGTTTAGAGATTATACTGTAAAAGTTATGCAATATTTCCAACCTCTTGGCATCAGGACCCTTATAAATGAAAAAAATAAATCCTCTTAAAGAATTATCCAAATTTGAGAAAGGTGAATCATCTGTTTTAAGTATAAAAAGTCTCCTGTTAAAATCCTCACCGTTTTCCCTGTGTGAGTATTCAGTGCCCATGATGGAGCATCTGCGAAACACCATCTTGTTCTCAGTAAGGGTGCCTGTCTTGTCTGAGAAGACGTATTCAATCTGCCCAAGGTCCTCCGTGATGTTCAGAGCCCGACATTGCACACGGCTGTCCGTCTCCTCATCGTACAGGTCCATGTCGTTAGTAATGAAGAAGATCTGTCCGACTTTCACCAGCTCAATAGACACGTAGAGAGAGATGGGAATCAGGATCTGGAAGGTGGTGGAAAATAACACACAGAGGGGGAAGGAACAAACAAAACAGACACAGCAGTTAGTTTAATGAGTTTAAACTTAATAAGAACATGCTTTTTTTTTTTAAAGCAATGTCTGTCAGACACCTGAAGGAGGATGATCATTGTGAAAAACATGTAGAAACTTGTAAGACTGGGATCATCCAGGTGACCGTTGCTGTCAGGAACCAGGAAAGGGGGCACGTCAGGTAGTGACTTCAACCATAAATAGTGACCTGTATGGGTAAAGACAGGTTAATTGATTATACTAATTGATAAACAGACAGATAATTCTGGCCTCCTTCCCATGCCTGTGTTAAATTTATATGTAGGCATGTTTGAAATTGTAAATCTGATGTTTCCCTCTGATAAAATTAGATGCATGTAGTAGCTCCTTGTTTTAGTGATGTAATTCTTTACCAAATGCTCCAATGAGGCACATAGTCAAGAGGAGAATGAGGCAGAAGAAGACGTCTATATTCAGCTTCCGTTCCAGTTTGCTTCGCTTGTATCTCGACCCATTGTTGTTGAGCATGGATTTGGTCTCATGACCTTAAAAATATCAGGAGAAAGCTGTTAGTTATGCAAACACACATCCCCACACACAAAAACAATAAAACAAAACAAGGTAAATATATAATAATATATAATATGTGGTGCCGTTTTCCTGAAAAGCTTTGTCTTTTCTTTTTTTTTTCTGCACAACTTAAGTTTCAAACATTTCTAATTGCTTTTGCTGATATTAGTTTTGTTATGGTTGTCTCTGTACACATACAGTACTTTTGGTAACTTAGCTTTGATTGTTGCATTACGAACATGAATCAAACTAATGAGTTATAAAACATTTAGCAAATTATTATTATATTTTAACTCTCTTTAATCTATTAAAACATGAATAATTAGAAATATGATTAGCTGTATGAAAAAATTGTTATTTTAAATGTAAACTCAATGAGGCGTATTGTTTATGTGTGATTTTTGCAAATCCTAACTCAATATGGAAGTTTTAGGATGCTAACATTAACAACAGGCAGCACACAACGAGAACTTCACAAAAATCACAGGAATATATTTTATGATGGGAAATAAATAGTGACAGTAAAACAACTGAACTACTGCAGAAACGAAAACAACTTTATGAGCGATTTAAAGCCCAGTAAGACTGCTAATTCTGTAAATTCAGATTATTAGTATGGTAGCATTTGCACTGCAAATCAAGCTGCAATGTTGTTCGGCTAGTATTAAAATTAAAATGACTTAACAGGTACATAGCTGCAATTCACCTGTACATTTATCCAGCAATGATTAAAGTGTTTTTATACCTTTTTCTATTTTTAAATTTTATGTCTGTTGCTTAACTACTGATGCAATAGCTGATCAGGAGTTCATTGTTTGAGTCAAGAAATTCTGATTAATAGCTTAAAAAAAGGCATTTACTTTGTATATACCAAGTTATTATAGGTTCAGAATATATTTTACCAGAAGTGTCAAGTAACGAAGTACAAATAGTTTGATACTGTACTTAAGTACATTTTTTAGCTATCTACACTTTACTCCATTACTTATTTTTCTTCCTACTTGACTCCTGACTTCTACTCATTACATTTTCACACAAGTATCTGTACTTTCTATTCCTTACATTTTTCAAACAAACGTTACTTGTTACTCTTGGCTTCGGTTTAATGTTTATAAATATTTATTTCACGTCATGTGCGCCATCCAATACAGATCCTTGGCTCCATCCACATCAAGTGAAAACTAGTGTAATTGGATGAGTCATATAATGCAAACACTCATTAGTTTGCTAAAAGAAATCATCAGAAGCAAGCAGGTGTTCTCAAACTGCAAACGTGAATTGTCTATGCCATGTTACAATGATAGATTCAGAAAAAGATGCTGAGATGTCTGAAAGGTCGAACACAGGCGAGAGCGTATCGGGAGACGGAGACCAACAAGACCTCCCTCATCCTTGGCCCTATCTCAAAGAATTTTTCAAAATAGTCGTAAAATTGAGCTTTCAATTCTTATAATGGCATCTGTCTGTTTTTTTTTTTTAAGGTTAGTTTATACTTTTATACTTTAAGTAGTTTTTGGAGCACATACTTTTTCAATTTTACTTGAGTAAAGAGGTCCAGTTGCAGTAACTGTACTACTACTTAAGTAATAAATGTGTGTACTTTTGACACCTCTGTATTTTAAATATGTTTATATCTGTTTTCTGTTTTAAAAAAATGTCTCTATAAAACTGGTTGTTTCATTTGATGATCTGTCAAATTAAAAATATGCCAGTATAAGGCTGCTGTTCCCTTTTATTTTCATGGCCTATACATGAAGAAGAGCCTGGACGAGCAGCCAGGTGATAAGAAAACTCTTAAAGAGGGTTTTGTGACAGAAAGAAAACACTTTGTAAACCTGCTGTGTACATTACAAACATGAGAAACTCTAAATAGCCAAAAAACACAATCTTTGCATAAGCTGTGTAAAAAAGACACAAAACATATTTTGCCTTGATTTCAAATATTAAATCTCACCTAACTTTAACTCTATGTCTTTTATTAATCATTTATAGTAGTTATTTGTTACATGTGACGAAAAAAGACAGGTGATTTTAGAAAATTGTTAAATACTTCTTTTACAGTCAGAAGTTTGCACATACTAACATCAGCATGCCTCAAGTCAAACTTAGGAAAGCCCTGATGAAAATGTCACGGCTTTGATTTTGAGTTCATTGCAGGCTCGCCGTAGGACGTGTTTCACACACTGCTAATCTCGCTAATCTTCTGTCATCTGTCTTCATTGAAAAAATCCAAACAAATTAGGTCAGAAGAGAACTACTGACCTCCTTTAGTCTGGTCCACCTTTAGGTAGAAATTCCAGATGCCTAAAGGCATCATCTTTTTGAACAATTTTAAAATGCAAGTTTAATGATTATGTGGGTGTTGAACCAGCAACCTGTTCAGGGAGGAGATTTGCACCCTGGAGTGTTTTTGTACAACCTTAAGGAAAAGGCCTTGAGTGGATCCTGACAGACTACTATCCTACTCCTGCATGAGCTGAAAGGCCACACAAGGAAAGAATCTAATAGTCAACATTGCAAAATAGAAAGCCACATTACAGTTAATCTAGAAAATGCCCCTAAAAAAAAAAAGAGAAAAGAAAGAAAAAAAAACAAATAACACAAATATTGACATATTTCGGTTATGTGCTGTTACATTTGTAGAAAAAAGCTTACATGAGAGAATAATTTGCAAACAAAATGTTGTGTTTTTTTTTTTGTTTTTTTTGGGGACGTTCTTTGCTGTAGGGGCAACTGGCATGTTTCACAAATTAGATGGCAGGATGAAGACTTGAAGCAACATCTCAAGGAAGTTTGGGTATAAATGGCACACAAACATCCGAACTGATTTCTCTGACACTGACCACAAGCGTAGTGCAAAATTAGTGCATAGCTATAAAGGTGTCCCAGCAAGATGGCCTTCAAACCTCACTTAATTACACAAGTTCTGTCAGGAAACATTGACCAAAACTCCAGCAAATATTACTAAAAGAAACATAACAGGCTGTAGGTAAATGTCTGAAAAAGAATCCACGTAAAAGATCTAATTAACTATTAAGGGATTTAGTTGATATAAATGTTTCTGGTAACCCTCAGTCTCCTAAAACAGGAAAACTTGACCTTGATGTATTTGTTAATCCTTAAGGGGAAGAAAAGTGATGTCTTTTTACACAATGTATGTAAAAATATCTGATTGTGACTGTATGACGTAAGGTAAAAAAGAAGAAAACATGTATGTTTAAATGTTGAAGCCTAAGGCATTTAGTAAGTTGTGAAATTACCTGCATACACCACGAAGCCAACTGCATGATTGGTGTTTCTCATAGTACAGCCTCGCAGCAGCAAACTCTCAATGCTGGCGCCCACCTTGTCTTTATCAGGCTTCTCTCTGGGAAAGGGACAGTGACAATCCTTTTTACTGTCAGGACTTGTTAGATATTCATTACTGCTGACTTATTCCCCATTAGAGCTCTCCTGCGTTATGCCTGTAAATGACCGGCCAGGGCTGACCGCCTGTAGGAGCTGTGCTGCCCAGGAAAATTGATTATAGTCTATTATAGCCCCAATGATGTGTCTGCTATTATTGAGAAGTCCAATGTGGAGGTTGGAATTAGTTTCCAGGCTTCTTGGGGATTTTTTTGATTTTTTTTTTTATGTGTGCCAAATGTGTGTTTGAAACTTACACAAAGCACTTGAAATGATTCAGATTGATGTTGGGTTTTTCACAAACCACAACAGCATTGAAGCTCTCAGGCTCAAATCCAGGATTCTGGTGAAAAAAATCAAAACAACCTTATTACTTTATGAATGAAAGCCTTTTATTTGCAGCTTAATCTGAACTTCAAAAGCAACACAGTCACATCTGATTTACCATACAGCTTCAAAGTATGTAAACTTACAGTGTATTTTTTGTTTTCAGTTGTGTTCTTCCACATAACAGCAGCATCAATGGTGAGATCAGGATAGTCAAAAATGGTTCTTACCAATGGACAAATTCCTGAAACAACCGTCCTTTGCTTCAGGTTGGTTTCCCCGTCCAGGTTGGCAGTCTCTATGTGGCAAACACCGTTAGGGTCCGATGAATAGAGGAGGAGCAGGTCTGCTGGGATGATCTCATTGCAAAGTACCTTCACAAAATCCCCCACCTGTACATCCTTCCAACGCCTCTCCACATACCGTTTCTCCCTCCTGCAGACAAAAAAATCATGCATCACCCATCGAAGAACAGGTCGGCTTTCATGTAGCCTGCCTCGCAAAAGCATTTCTTCTGATTGAAATTGACCACATTTTCTCTTGTAGCAACCTTGGAATGTCACTGAAGTTTATAGAGCTCTTATAGGATAGATCAACACAGAGAAAAGGGAGGAAAATTATATATTTTTTCAACGTTGTTTTTAATAGATACATAAAACTCTGAAAATCACATAGTGAGTTTTAGATCGATATGTTTCAAGAAGTGTTGTTGCTGTAATTGCAGCTGCAAATCTTTTGGAGCACATCCAGAGAATGAAGACTTTTCACATTCCTCCTTCGAAGGTAGCTCAGGTGGAGGATATCTACATACAACCAGCCACAGGTTACCATTCAGAACTTTCGGTGGGACAGTTTAACCCCTAGAACCCGACGGACCCACCGGTGGGTCCAGCTGCCACGTGACTTCGTAATTTTAACAAACCCCCAGTATTGATGTAAAAAACACATTTGGCACAGTTTGGTGACATTTTTGGATAAATGTGCCAAAATGGCCTCTCCACCTAAGAAATTTCTCACTAATACCATTCTAAAATAAATATGATTCATCTTATTGAGTCCAAATTTGGTATATTTTTACACAACATTTAGATTTAAAAGTCTGTACTACTTTTTTGTGCTATAAATAATATTTTGGTAGTGTTTTGCAATGTTTATTTCAAAGAAAATTTTGGCGAGGTTCAAAAAATGCAAAATATTTTGTATTTTGTCCCTAATATTTCAGGCAGGGTCAAAGCTACAATGGTGCTGACACCAGAAAACCATTCTATGACATCTTACCTTTACAGAGGTACCAAAAGTTTCTTCTTAAATCTAATAGCTGTGAGGCTATAAGTGATTTACTTTTGTGTGTTTTTGTCAGGCAGAAATTTATTTATACCCCCTGAGGGTGTAAGAGGTTAACACAAGAGTAAGCTTTGGCCTAAACCAGGGGTCCCAAACCACTGGGCCACAGACTTTTCCCAGGCCATGGACCTGTTGCAGAGGTTCCCAAACATTTCAGCCAATCATCTCCCATAAAATACATGTAATTACTTTACTCTATGTATAAATTATAGATAATCTATCATTTTTAAAAATATTTTTAATAACATTTCATTATTCAACCATTTTTCAATTTAATGTAGTAATTATTAATAACAACTATCGAAATGTTTATTTGAATCACATCAGAAACAAACAAACATACATATAATTACATACATGTTTTCAACTTTAGAGGCAACATTGATTGATTATTAATTTTATGACATATTTTGGCTCTTCAAGGATCACATCACATTGATTGTAAAAATTATTTTGCAACACCCCTCATTTGGTGTCTTGCGACCCCCTAGAGGAATCCCGAACCACATATTAGAAACTCTACCCCTATCGTATGTTAGTTGCAATCAATGAACTGCAACCTAATTTTTTTTATTTAAAAAAAGCATCTGTATGCTTCCATAATGTTGTCCAACCAAGCAGTAATTTGCTGCTCGACATCTTGTGAAAGATGATTTTCAAGTTGCTTATTTTTTCTAGTTAGCTGTGGATCTCTGCAGCTCCTCAGGCGTTTCCCCAAAGCTCACGGCTTTTTCCTTCTCTCTGTACCCGGACTGTAATTTCAGGTTTGGTAGCTTTGCAGTTTCCACTTTAGGTCATTGGATTGAACAGGCTCTATGAGATGCTTTCTTTCTCACCTGTCTGATGTGTTTCTGGTATCTATTATGTTTTTTTTTTTTCCACTAAGATTCTCTATCAAACCTCTGAGGCCTTTAGGGTACAACTGAATAGTTATATTTTTGTATTAGATATGTTTTATTTTTTGATAAGACAAAATGTAGAAAGATTTAAAGGTAATAGTAGTGCAAAGCATTGCACAGGAAAAAAAAACATCATATTATTTAAAAATATTTAATAATTTGCTAAAATCCTTTCATAGCTGATTTACTTTAAAGGATTAAAGAAAAGGAGCAACACCTCTAAACTCCGTAAACACCAAAGTAAAATGAATGGAAAGAATAACAACTGTGTTGTTGACTTTAGATGGTGGCATGTTACATTTGCAGTGCTATGGTATGCTGTTGGGTGAAAAATGCTGCCCTGAACTTTGTGATCAGGCACCTTTTCTTTACAGAGTGTTTTGCATTATGATTGGAACCAGCGTGTCAAGCTGTCTGAGCACCAGGAACAGAAAGCTGAAAGTATGCTGCCCTGCATGTAAGACCTGATGGGTTAGTTACCGCTCCACACCACACCTCTCTCCCAACAAAGCCAGGAGGGGAGCCTCATGTATTTTTAGGATGCCATTTTCATCCCCTTACATACATTACAGTACTTTCAAAAACTGTTTGCGTGCGTCAGACAGTCTGTGTTTAGTTTTCAATTACGTATGATCCTCTTAGAGTAAAAAAAGTCTCTTTTTTTTTGTGCTTGACAAAAGTCATAAGTCCTTTCTAATGTATTTCCCATACAGTTTTAAAGTAGTGGTTTTATATTACAACCTATTTAACTTTATTCTATAATTCAGCTGGGTGTCTAAATTTTTTTAGCAGTAATGTCTTTACTAATGAAAAAATAAGCAAAGTACTGATTTTAAATGGGGGGTTATTACATTTCCAAATGAGGTAACCTTCGTGGAAACTTTTTGTTTATTTTACTTAAAACTACAATTTTCTTTATTATTTAAGCACACACAGAACAATGTTCTGTTGGGTCTGGGCTGAGTATAAAGAAACAAAGCCGTAAAACCAACGACATTCTTAGAGGTACAAAAATAACAAAGCACATGTCACTAAGACTAGTTAACATGAAGGTAAAAGTTGGTGAAAGTGAAATATAAAAAAAATTATGTAAGCATTTAACTTTTGTACCATGCACTATTAAAGAAATAAGAAAGTCAAGTGTTTGCAAAGATTTTGTAAGAACTAACCCATGTGTGACTTCCTAGGTTTAAACTGTTGTCATGTTGACAGACATTTTAAAGATGAATAAAAGATTAATTTGATTTTTGCTGTTGATATCTATTTCACTTTCCCTCCTGACATTCTTCCTGCAAACATATGTATAAAAGGCTAGAAAGTTTTCACCAACCCTGATTTTAAAAATCCAAAATGGCTGCCGCATATTCCAAATAGCGTGATAGGTATGATGATAAACTACTTATTTTAAGTGGATTTCTTTCACAATCTCTTTAACAGTTTCCCTATGATTTGAATAGAACAAAGTTCTGCTTAGATGCAATAGGATATTATCTTAAGCTTTATAAGTGTACATAACATTTATCTCATCTGTCTTGGGGCTTTTTCCAGATTAAAGTTCTGGGGTAAATAAGAGGCAACAGAAGTTTGTTTTTGCTTCAGTGATAACTAGTTTAAACATTCTCTAATTCCCTATATTCATGGGAATCTTAAGTTTGAAGCAAAGTATTTATTTAAAGTAGATAATTCTTCTCACTTTTACTTAATTGGTGTTAGTTAATAAACAGATCCTGATAGAAACTATAATTTCCTCTAAGCTTTACTAAAGGTAATTGAAGTACCACAGTTTGAGAATAATGTATCTAATTACAAATTGATAACTGAGCATTTTGGGATGATATGCTTGTCTGATTATTTGAGAACTCAAAACAGATGAGAGCATGAAGTCTGCTTTATGCTGTGAAAAGAAAATCAGAAGCAGTTGCCAGAAGCTAAATTAACTTAGCTCTGCATCAAGATGGCAGACATCTGGCTAAGTCTAAAGATGACAATGGGATGATTTTATTTATATAACATTTGCACAGTGAGTGGTTGAAAAAAACTGTGAAGGTTTTAGAGCATACCTTGAAAAGGTGTGTGTCTTTATAAAAGAAGAGTATATCTTAATACAAAGAAATGCAAAATAGGTTTAACAGATACTAGGTGTTACTTTCAGGCTATGTGCAAATGTGGTCTTTCAAACATCACTGAATACTTGTAAGGTAGTAACCGGTTTTAAAGATCACACTTAAAAGTTAAGTGGCATGCTTGAGCAAAGCTGGACTGACAAGTGTTTGAGATAGAAACAAAATTGGAACGATGGCCCATAAGATAAGGCTCTTCATGCTTCACCCGGAAAAATTCACACCTCTATGAAAACAATGACTATAAAAAATTTGATGGGAAATAGACCGGAATAAGGGCCAGTTTCTATCGTCCAACTGCATTTTACGTGGGCAAAACAAATGCTAAGCTGATAAAACTATTTAAAAGACTTTACATCCTGATTTTTTTTTTTTATTTAAATATTCAACTTTATTGCAAAATGAAAGTTTAGGACCTCTGGAAAACTCTCATAAACGTACTGAACATCTTTAAATCTGAGAGCACTAATATCTTAGATCCTGTGCTAATAGAAAACAAATGTCAGGCCATGTCTTAGCTTCATGTTAATTACTTTGGTTTATTTATTTTTTTTAAGGGAACATTTACTGTTTGTTGTTATATTTCTGCAAATGGTAGCACATTTGTAAGGAAACGGCCAGGGAATTTGAATGCAGAGATAGTAAAATTAGTTTCTAGAGTCAGTGGCGATCAAATACCTCCACATCCTCCATGATGTTAAGATTAATCAAAAGCTCCCTTTAAAGTAGCTGAGAAGATATAGGATCAGCTCAGGAGTGCTGTTTATTCCAGAGTGACTAACACAACCATACAGACTAGAATCAAATGTGACCATGCAGTTGACCAGCTGTATTAGTTGTATATGGATCTTCCATTCAAGGCTTAAACTTCTGATTCATAGATGAATAAATAGAAAAATTGCTTTCCATCTAATCATCTGGTCACATTATTGACACCAAATGAGAATTGGTTGTATAATCAGCGCCTTTGTTTTTGCAGAGAATATTCCAAGAAGCAACCCACATATTCAACTCTGCTGTTCAACCCACAAATGCATTTTCTTACAAATGTGGCTTTCAGAGAAATAAACCAGTGTTCCAACATTAGATTTATTGCCAAGAAGCAATGTAGCGACAAAGAAAAAACAAAAATCTACCAAAAACAGATTTCCTGAGGAAGTTTATTAGCATACAGTGGATTTGGATTTATGATCAATCCTTTCCCTCCTGTGCTCTCCCATTCACAGCAGGAAAAAAAAAAGGTTCGGAAAATGTCTGACACCTCTTGTGATTTTCTCTTTTTCACCATTCATTCAAAAATAGAACCTTACTGTCTCTGCTTACGCAATACTCATATGAGGATTTCATCAAACATGTTCGCTGTGATGCTGTGAGATCTTGTATAATCTCCCACACATTCTCTATTTTTAAGTCAAAAATTCCCAAAGGTCTACTGAAACACAGAGGCGATGAAATACACAAACAAATACAGAGGATCCCAAACAGATGTACTGATGTGGCTTTTTTACACCTGCCTCATCATGCATGAATATGCAGAACAGAGAAACGTACCTGCTGTAGATTAAACATGGCAAGCTGTTGATCTTCCTGTCCGACTGGTACCTCCTAAAGTCCTCCCAGGCATCCTTCAGGGCCGTCAGACACATTATTACACAGATGGGGATCAGGCCCACCTCTGGCTGGAAAGCATTCACCACTGGAATAAAGTTCAGGATGGCCAAGCCAACAAAGTAGAGGTTTGCCATGCGGTGAAACTGTTCATAAAGGTTCATGGGAAGGAAAAACAGCAGAGAATATTTAGTGGTTTTGATGGCGTTGGATGGGAAGAAGCGATTGGGTTGCTTTGCCTTCTCCAGCCCTTCGTACGGCAGATTGGACACCAAGTTGCGGAGCTCTCTCTCCCTTGCCCTCTGACCTTGCAGAGCATCCCTCATAAGGGCCAGAGGGCTTCTCCACGTCATGGTTCCACCGTTTCTTTTACTTCCTTTCCTCACCAAAGATCCATTTCCACAAAACCTAAAGGACTTCAGGTCTAAGCCGTCATCTCCCTCAGTGATTCTCAGTCATTGTGTCAGGCCTGACTTAAAACAAGTAACAACATACCTCTCCAAAGACCGCCCCTTTGCCTGTGACAGGTGTGTTTGCATTCCTTACTGTGGAGCTATTAGAGGAAAGAGGCAAGATGACTGAGCTGAGGACATCAGTGAGTTCTTAACAGGTTCACCTGATTTCAACAAAAAGAAGGAAGCTGAAAAAAAGTACTTCAGCTTCTCGTTTTCTTCTAAATTTAAGCCAACATTGAAAATACACTGCAAAGTAAGTGTATTTATTTACCCTTAATCTGCATAGATAGCTAAAATATAAATTGTTTTATACCATCAGAAGAGAGTCTCAAATACTTGCTTAATTTAAGAATACATGAAAAAAAATGACTTACTTAGATTGACATTGTTAGAAAATTAAAAACAAACCTAACGTGATACTAATCACCAATAAAACAGCTTTTTTTTTTAACATTATAGTCCTTTTGATAAAGGACAGGTTTCCCCAAAGGATCTCTCTGCAGTGGATCATGAGATTTGAACTGACAAATACGGTGAGTAAACTGCTCTAATACAGACAGGAAGAGAATACCACAAACATTTTCATCCATCAGCTCTAGATTACACAGGATGTATGGTGACTTACAAAAGAGATCTACATTAAGTTGTGTTATAATCCTAAAAGTATTTTAATGGCATCATATAAGCAAGTTTAAGGTGGAGTTAGATTATAAACAAGTATCCAATAACAAAAAAAGGGGAGAATGCGAACCTATCAAGACATGGTCATCAGCAGGAAACCACCTGCTGGAGGTGAAGTTGGCAGAGGTTCATCCTGAACAGCAGCTAGAATGAATCGATTTAGATTGCCAACCATAAGCTACGCCTAAATGTGATGGAGAATTTACTGAAAATAGAATTTGATGGATGCTCTTCATCCCATTTAACCCTTTATAGGGCAACTTACTGTTTTTGTTCCTTTTTGGTTGGGGTCCCCGGTTCCTTCTTTGGGTTTTGGAGGCCCAGGTTTTTTTTCCGGCCTTTCGGCAAGGTTCTTGTTCCTTGGTTGCCCTTTTATTTTGGCGTTTGACCAATTAAATGAGCCCTTGATTGATATATTACCTACTGTAAATTAAGTTGGGGAAAAAAGGTTAAAAAGCTGACTGAAAAGTTAAAGAGTAAAGTTAAACGTTAGTAAGCCTGGTTAAAAATTATATTTAGGATTATAAACTTAAAAATGCCTCTAATGTTAACTCTCAGGGTGTTTTTCATGAATTTCCTATAGAGGCACTTTTTCTATTTTTTTTTATATAATTGGGCAAGTTGGTGTTTCTTGTTATTAGATTGACATTCATTTTTACCATCAAAATATCCATATTTTTTAATGTTACAAAGGTAATATGGTCTTGAAATTTTGATTTTCAAAGTATTTCACAGAGTGCCCTATAAAGGGCTAATAAAGCTTAGGTTATTTCACTCTTAAAGAATTGGGACTAATATCATAGTTTCTAAATTTAGAGTACCGCAAAAGACCAACGGCTGTCACTAAAGCAAATAGTGAATCTGGAAAGTATTCACTCTGAGGTTTAAACTCTAGCAATAATATCATACACAAAATAACTATACAGAATAAACTATACTGATCTAGATCAAAAAAAATTTAGCTTCTCAATTATGATCCTCCTGAAGGAGATGTTAAGGAAGTTTTGATGCTCTTTCACATACAGTAGCAGCCATTAAAAATGTCCCAGTGAAACGCCAGCCGAACGGTGGCAGTCTCCCCTGTGACTCCCAGCAAAATCCCCTCCAACTTCCAGCCACTGGCCTTCTCCTGGGCATGCATATTTTCATGCCCAGGACTCCACCCTTTCCCTGAATTACAGGATCTGACCAGGACGCTTCTCTTTAGATCTAAATAACCACAAATCACAACAGAAAGAATATTTTAATACAAAGATTGATGTTTAAAAAAATTTTGTAGGATCCCAGCCAAGGGCCCATCAAGGAAAGTGGGGAAATTTAAATGCCTACTACTGTAGGAAGCTTTCCGTTTCCTCATGTTGACACAAGTTTCTTTTCCAAACCTGCATGCCAAGCCTGATTTATCCCTGATTTGTGTCGCACCTTTTATTTATTGCTGAAACCTAATTAAAACGAGTCAAATCTGAATGTAGTCAGGAGAAGGCCATCATGGAGTGACGTCCTTTTTTAGGAATTCTAAACATAAACCAACATTTGATTTATTTGTCATCTAAAAACGTCATAATTTGTTTGTGAGGATATGTCACAATAGGTCCCTTCTCCCTAAGCCAGCCTGACTAGTTTTTCCATCACATATGTGCTCGGCTGGGGAGTGGCGTGACGCGACTGTGTCAGACTCACCCTCTCACCCATCCCAGTAAGCGTTGGATGGCTTTGGCTTAGCCGGCTCGCCAACTTCACAGAGCTCAGCTGCAGGCCCTCTCACACACACACACAACGTAAACACACACTCATACACGTGGCTCCATAGTGCAGAGGTCTGTGCATGGCTAATTACGCCAGTGACATGGAAAGAGTACAAAACAGGAAGCATCTGCCTCCCCTCCTATTCTCGCATGTCAACAATGATGCCCCCTTTTGAAAAGAGGAAAAAGGAAGGAAAAGGCCAATTTAGCAAAAACCATCTGCCTACTGAGGTAATACATCTGTTATGTCATTCTTTTTTCTAACCAGTGCATGAAAGAACAAGGTTACACGTCACGAAACATCAGTTTTTACATCCGTTTGCCTCCATAGGTCCATTACACTTAGACATTTTATTCCCAGAGGCGTCTTCCAAACATACAGCCAACATCAGCTGTTTTCTCTCATGCTCATCTCTATATTTAACTTAATTTCCTTGCATTTCTTTTCTTTAAAACTTTACACATTATTGCAGTGTAACCAGATGTATCTTGATGTCATTGTTTTGATTTCAGTAGCTGCACATTATTTCCTGCTTGGACAAAAATCCTTTATAAATATTGAATATTCTGTGTTTTGCACCATCAAATATTCACCAGCATCCATTTATGCGTTCAGACTTTGGCGCAGAGAGCACACTCTTCGAATTGATGTGCTCTTCTCTTTCTTTCTTGTCATCCTCTTTTTTTCTGAGTCCAAAGTGTGTCTCCACAGCCACGGCTCTCTGGGTTGATGTCCCCCGAGGCCAGGTGTTGAGCTCAGGCCTGCTCAGACCCCAGTCTGCCCCTCCGACCACCGCTGCAGCCTCTCGCTCGGCTCCATCCATCCATTATGCAGCCAGTGGCACCCAGCTGCAGCGCTTAACGTTCTCAGCTTACCCCTACCCTCGCTTTCCTTGCTCCATCCTCAATTCGGGTTCAGTTGTTCACTCGCTCATTCAGACGCTCAATCAGCCACAAGCCCGCCAGCGGTCAGCTTCACATTCACGCAGGAAGGACATAGACCCACCACCAGCAGTGCTCCTCTTGTTGAAGTGATAGACTGAACTGAGTTTTAATTGAATTTAGATACATCTTCATAATTGCTGACAGTTATTACACAATATATTTACAGTCATTATGAAATATTACAATTAGAATTTACAGAAACTTTGTACAAAATATGCCTGACTTCAATGCCTGGATAGTAAGGGGAGGGGGGTCTCGGTTATGTCGTTTCAGGAGAGTGAGACATTGACCCAAAAGTCAGTGGTGTCTGGAAGTGCTTTAGTTTCAGCAAGTAGATGCTTTCAGAGTCCATTAAAAAGAAAAGAAAAGAAGAGACAGAGAGAGAGAAAGAGGTAAAAGTCCCAAAAGTATAGTCAGCAAAGTTGTGAATGGTGTTTTAATTCTTCTTACGCTGAGATTTTATTTTTTTCCTTTCTTCTTCTTCTTGACTAAATGAAACAGTTGAGCTGTAATTCAACTGCAGAAAACAACAACAAAGACCCATTTAAATAGAATAAATTCATAGTATTTACACAATAAAGTCAGTATTGATTTATAAAAATGAATCATCTCTTTTTCATTAAATATGTTATCTACAGTATTTTTTTTAATTAAATAATTATTCTCCTTTTCTGGAAACAGAAACCTAATCACGATGAAATGCATCCTACTCCTATCATCCAGTTCCTACTGGTTACGATGATTGTGGATTGCGATATTTATGCAGCGATGAAGCTCGGCCAATGGGGAAACTTGTCTATGCCAGCTTGTGTTAAATCAAAGCTATACTCTGCACAACGGAAGAAAAAAAAAAATTCAGTTAAATGTTTTAAAAGAAAAAAAATCAAACCTCACCGATGAATGGAGGGAATCTGGAAGCGCGGCGAAAAGCAAAATAACCCAAATCAAAAACAGATCTTCTCTTTCTTTGATCGTTAAAGCTCCAGAGGTAAGACTGCCCCCTGCTGTCTGCCTACTGCAATCCAGACACCCTCAAATGTTAAGACAGCCTCCACTAGTACAACTAAAATACTCTCATTCCTCATCACGGTTGAGATGGAAATGAAACCAAACATAAGCATGCTTTTTTTTAAAAGGATGTTTCTGATATACAGTAAATATAGGAAAATAGACTATCAAGGATGACCTCCTCTTAAATCATTTATAAAGCTTTTCCTGGATGCAGACAGCTCGGCTACCAAGTAAATAGATACTAAACAAAAGAAATCCTTAAAGTATATGCAAACACAAGCATAAATATTTTGATCCACAGAGAGATAGTAAGCTACGAATGACAAATATTAGTGATATATTGAAATTCTGGAACAGGCACCGTATCTGTCTTTCTTATTTTTTTTATTTTTTGTTATTCACTCTTCTTTTTATTCGAGTGCTCGTCAGTCACTTGAAGGTGTTTCCCAAATCCTAAAAGAGTCACTGCTGACTGAAGTGGGTGCTGCTGCGAAAAAAGGTCTTTGTGTTCTCCTCACGTCGTCGGAAACAAACCAGCTTTTAAAAAGTCAGCACACTGTTTTCATCTCACATTCTCTCTCGCTCTCACTCATCATTTATCTTTCTTGATTCCTCCACGCCAATTCTTCATTGTCGTCTGGCAGAAAGCCGGTTTCCAGACTCGTCCCCCCCGGGTTTAATGGACATAGTAGAGCCAATAGACCACGTTAAAGAAGGAGAAGACGGTGGGGAAGATCATCCTGGACCACTTATCGATAGAGTTCACGTCGGACAGGTCTGGGATGTTCACCTTGAGCTGTGAGGCCCGTCTTCGTAGGCGGGACTTCTTTTGGGCGTGGCGCTCCAAGGCACTGTGGCCATAGTTCTGCCGGGCCATGGCCGCCCTGCGGTACTGCAGTGTGGAGCTGTCATAGGCCAGCATAGTGTTGCGGGGATCCGTTGGGGCTCCCAGGCCCCGGGACAGATCCCCGGCGCCACCCATCTCATTCTTCATCTCCATGGCACTGAACAGGATGTTGTCGTCGGGGGTCATCTGTGTGAAGGTGCAAAAATAACAGATGAAACCATTAGAGGTTGCTCAGGAAAATCATTTGTCCTCTTAACTCTGCGTTTTGCAAAAAGTATTAACACCCCTTGAACTTTTTCACATTTCATCAAGACGCATCTAAAAACATTGATGTATTAATTGAGATTTCTTTTGTGATTGACCAACACAAAGTATCATATCTTTAGAAATTCAAAGGGAACTTAAGTGGTACTTTTTGGAAACGTTTGTTGGAAATACAAATATCCAGGGCAAAATACTTTTTTATGTAACTTGTTTAAACAGAAAACATTACTTTATCAAGGATTTTATTACATTAAATTTTAACACTACATATTACAAGCTACATTTAAATTGATGTTTCAAGGATAAAAACTAAACTAGTAAAGGCAGCATGTAGTTTCGACACTCCTCACCTCTGAAACAAGCTGCCTGAAAACCTTGAACATGCAGAAACTTTTGGCTCTTTTAAATCAGGAAGGAAAACATGCGGAATGCTCTAGCACACTTTTTAAATGGAAACTTGAAGGAAATAAATGCATCTAACCTTAGCAAAGTCATGCCTTTTGATTATCAACCTGTGGGACATGGTCTAAATTACAGTAGGCATGGGCCGAATACAAGATTAAAGGTATATGCTGCAAAGGTATAGGCTGCCACTCCCATAGCTAGCTAGCTAGCTAGCTAGCTATGGGAGTGTCTATCTATCTATCTATCTATCTATCTATCTATCTATCTATCTATCTATCTATCTATGAAGCAGAATAGAATAGAATAGAAAATCCCTTTATTTCAAAAGTTTATAGCAGAAGCGGTCACACAATATGGACCTTAGAAAGTGTATTAAAACAACAGAATAAGTAACATATATATATATATATATATATATATATATATATATATATATATATATATATATATATATATCCCTTTAAATCTCTTGCACTGCTTTTTGTTGGTCCATCATCTCCAAAACACATCGATTTTTGTAGTTGATACGTCATATCATGTGGGAAAGTTCAAGCGATATGAACACTTTAAGGCACTAACCTTTACAAACTATAGCTTAGAGAAAAGCTGCAATCATCTTTAAGCAATTTAGCGTGTGTAACATACTGATGAGGTGCTAAAATGGATGATGTAAATGAGTAATAAACTTCTACTCACAGCCACCAAAAAAGAAATCATTAAATTCTCTTATCATTTGTCAACGCATAAATGATAATACAAGCACAAAGTTATAAAGTGAAAAAATTCTTGAAGAAGCACTTATTGAAGAAACCTTCATTGTCATCCAAGAATTTCAACCAGAGGACGGTTAAAATTCTGACGTTTCACAAGACAAACTGAAAAGAAAAAGATAAAAATAAAAGAAGAAAAAAGCAAAGATATACAAACGAAAAGTGACAGGAGAAGGTTGAGAGAAATAGCAAGGACTTTGCAAGGATGGAGGAGGCTAGAGGTTCAGGGCAGGTCAGGAGAGGCGTTTTGGGAGGTGAAATCGGATCAACATTTCTTCATCCATAGCCTGACTTCTGAGGAGAAGCATCATCTCTATAATTCAATCCTGTACTTGATGTGTTTTACTGTTTTTTTCTGGGTAACTCACTTTGAAGCATCATTGCAATTCTACATTCTGTCCACTCGTCTTCCTAATTTCTTCACTTGTGTTTAAGAAATTTATCAGTTGCTTCATAGATTATAATTTTTTTTGTTGTATTTTTTTTTTTTGGGGGGGGGCATTTTAGTAAAATTATTTAGTCTTTTTCCATCATTAAAAGTTAAGATTAAATCAGTGCCTGCAGAAATGAAGCTGCTGAGCCATGTTTGTCAGGAAAATGCATGAAGAGCAAACCAAGAGAGGGAAAAAACACAATGGTGGGAGTGATGGTCAAGGTTGCCTTAAAACTCTACAAAAGAAAAAAGAAAAATCAAAGAAATCAACAAAGACTACAGAATTTTCCTCTGATCTGAACTGATTCAGATTGATGACATTAAGTTTTGACTTTCAAAACCTCCAGTACCTTATTTCTTTGATCGCCTAGTCCTAATGCGGCATCGTCCACAAAGATGGGATCCCACATCGAGTCATATGCGTCAATTTCCCTCTGTTTCATTCTGGCATACAGAGCATCATCTCTTTGAACTACATTTCCCACCAGCCACTGCAAGCATACAAAATCAGCACTGTTACTTGAGGGAAATCGTAGCTTGCCACACTCAGAAGGAAAGGATGTCTTGTTTTATTTTTTTATTTAAAATTTTAAACGCTGTTGTTCTTAATGGTACTGAGTAATATTTAAAGAGAAAGCTCTGACGCCGCAGCCAGGGATATTTCAGGCGCCTCATCCTCTGGGAAACACAAAAATGTTGAGATAAAGTATTTAAAATGCAGTCATCGCTCCTGCATTCGACCATTCAGATCCAGGTCTGAGTAAGAACGTTAAAACAGCCGGCAACAGAGGGCTGGAGTTAGAGTAAATAGTGCTGGTAAAGGACATGAAACATTGGTTAATGTGTCACACTGGCCTTAAGAGAAGAACAAGAAGAAGAAGTCCTTTGCTTACACAGAAACAAACATACATATCAAAGGACAGCACAGAGACAATCTGGAAAGGCTCCCAGTGGCACAAACCTTGTTGGGGTCGGGTCTCAGCTTCTCGTTGTTGGCCGTGGCTGCTTTCTCAGCCGCCTTCTTCTGTCGCTGGGGGCCCTGGCCAAAGAAGATGTAGTTGACGAAAGCGTACTCCAGCAAAGCCAGGAAGACGAACACAAAGCAGCCCATCAGATACATGTCGATAGCCTTCACGTAGGGGATCTTGGGGAGCGTCTCTCGCAAGTGAGTGTTGATGGTGGTCATGGTCAGCACCGTGGTGATCCCTGCAGATCAGTGGAGTCACAATTTTTTAAAATGTCTTTAGCTTCACATTTGAGATAGTTTTCTAAAAACTGACTCTTTCCCTCCCACTTTATTGAATTTACTGGTGCGAGTTGTGAGTAAAAGTAATAAAAACAGTCATTAAACTTGGATTCTGGTGCCACTGCTAAACAAATACAGAAATCCAGCTTCAGATAATTATCTGGTCTTAAATTTAATAAAAAATCTTTCTAGTCACTGAAGAATCTCTGTCCAGTCCAAAACAAAGAGTGTTAACCAAAACCCGGTTAATCATCACATGCCTTCTAGATAGGATAGAATAGAAAGCTAACCTTAAGCATATGCTTAAAAGATTCAAAGCCATACTTCATATTAACATTTCTCTCTCATACAGTTGGTGGATACAAAAGGTCTGCAGGACCTTGTTTGAATGACAATACCAGTTTGTATATCCTATAAAATTAAAACTTAAAAACAAAAAACAAAAGCTCTTAAAAGGAATTACTTCATACAGTTAAAAAAGCTGCATTTACATGTTTAAATAGGAATAACCTATCGCAAAGTAAAACTTCTGATTCATTTCCAGCATTTGGTCTCGTTGGGTACCACAAATTAAAACAAATGTGATTATTCAATAAAAAAAATGCAGCTTTCATAGTTGGATTGTCCTTTTTTTTATTTGTATCCTTAATATAAACTTCTTAGTGGCAGAGAGATCACAAAACATCAAAAGGATCTTACTGCACAAAGATATCAGTCAGGAAATGTAAACAAAAAAGAAACCCACCAGAGTATTATTTCATGGCAAAGTAAAGCTAGTCATCAATATTTGGAGAAAATATAATGAAACACACTTATATTAAATATTTTACATAATGTGAGAAAATGTATGTACTTTGCAATTTATTAAAACATTTTTTTTCCTTGTTTAGCCGATACGGCTCTGGGAATAGAAGACCCAGAGGTATCTGATAGCCCAACATCTTTGCTTTCACAAGGAGACCATTATTGGTTTGAATGAATGTTGCCATAAGGTTCCGCTTGGTACTTGTATATATGAAGCTTAGCTTGAATTATTTAGGGAGTAAAATTCTATACAACGGAGACGGAAATGTAAAGCGAGGTGAGAAAGAAAGAGGGGATAAGAACTAAGGGGAGAGAGAAAGAGACAGGAAACAGTGCATGATGACAGAAAATAAAACAAAACAGGAAAAATAGAAAATACAGAAGATATACAGTAACTCCTAGAAGTCTTCCACACCTTTATGACATGAGAGGAACACAAAACAGAGAACATAACAGCAAAACGAAGACGACAGACAAGTAAACATAAAAGCAGCGGATATCCATGAGATATCGATGTGTGTGAAAGGCAACAACTATGGTGATCGCAATATTATTCAGGTTGGTATATATCTGTAGCTGCAGTTTAGTATTTAGTATTAAACTGTATCCGTGAACTCTTGGAACCAAACTTTGGTGATATGTATGTGTGGGCATGCTCGTGTATAAAGGATTTACAAAGCTTCTTCAGAAGAAAAATCAATAGAAGGCGTGAGTGGCCCCAGACTCGACCGACGGGGCATCAGGATCCATAAAGAGACAACGTAAGCCACAGATATCTAGAGGCACCCCAGATCACTGGGACACAAGGTGGGCAGACAGCGGGATGGCCACACCCATCAAATAAGGGTGGACGAGGGCATCCGGATCCCAACCTCAGTGGGGCCAACCCCCAAAGGGGCCCAGTCCCTGAGGTGGCCGACCCCACAGGCCATAGTGCAGAGGACCCACTGGGCCACAACAACAGCCCCATGGCCTCCGCTGGCAGTCGCTCACGCCCAAGGTGGACATAAATGAGATCCCAGGGGTCCGAGGGCGCAGAACCCCATAGTGGGAACCCCACAGGTCCAGGAGACTCAGGCCCGGCCCAGGAGCCAACAGGCATGAGACAGTACCACTGAAGTATCCAATCAGCGCCCCAGCAGACACATACTCATACTTAGGGCCTAGGATGATCAGTAGGTGGGGCGGGGGAGGCAAATACCCAACATGACAAGTAGTCAAAGATAACTTCAAATTCATCCAGTCACAATCACACAATCCCGTACATATACAAGCAATCAACTGAGACGCACACAAGGGCAGACACTAAACATATTTTTACCCTCCTCATATATAGATATTCTCCAGGTTCTGGGGGCTGATCCCTTGAGGGGCAAATGGCAGAGCTAAGGCTGCCATACAATCGGCACCACTGGCCACCACTGGACTCTGTGACTACCAATAGCAGTAAAAATAGGTGAAGTGTCCTACCTAAGGACAAAATGACAAGGAGGGATTTCCCATCAGTTAGAGAACGAGCCTTTACCTGCTGAGCCTGAGAACAGACCCATTAATTGGTGACATGGTTCTGGTTAACCTTGCATCCAAACACAAAAGCAACCTTGGCTTGTGTGAACTCACCTTTTACATTCAAGATTAATGTGAATAAGTGAGTTTAAGGTTTCTTCAAAGAATCAGAGTTAGCGCTGCGAAAGAGACCCTTATTTTGCTTTCAATAAAAATGATTTTGTAATTTTTTTCTCAAACTCGTACTCGTCGTACTCGTAATTTTTCTCTCAAACCTTAATGGTAAAGATATGCAGTAGAGAGCAGCAACACAAATTTCTCTGCAACTTTAAGAGGTGGAAAGTGAGCTCAGAAGATTTAACACTGTTTACTGTCTAACAGCGTTCACATGTTGTTTTCAATTATTTTCAGTAAAAACCAAAAACAACCTATTTAAAAAATAGAATCTTAAAAAAATTGTAAAAATAATATATGAAAAAACTAAATATGAAAAAAAAAATAAAAATGAATATTTTTTTTTATATTTTTTAAACATAAAAGTTACTTTCACAACATTTTCTGATTATTATTTTTTGGATTGCTACATTTTAAGGTTATATTTTCTCAGATTTAAATTCAGAAAACTTGTTCTTTGCTTGGAACAATAGTGGAAGAAATTTCCAAAATTCCATTCCATTCATCCCATAGTCAAAAGAGGAAAGAAAAGGCTGGTAAAATGTAATGCTGTCTAATAGAATCTGTCTAGAACTGATAGATAGATCTTCAAAAAGTACAGTCAGAACAAAAATACAATGTAAACATATACATTGTATATATATATATATATATATATCCAATGTGAAACAAAGTGGTGGCAGCATCATGCCTTGGTATTACTTTTCTTCAGGCTGAAATTAAAAGGATTTTTTAAGGTGGATGAAGTCATGAATAATGTTAAATAGCAGTCAGTTTTTATCTAAAAGCCTCAGCTATCAGCCAGAGGTTGCAGTGATATTTGTACTTTTCAGTATCACTTTACTTTACTTTGCGGGAAGAAAAATTACCATTTTGGAATGGGGGCACAAAAGGCCAAAACTGACCTCAATCAGAGATGGAGAGAGCGCTGTACAGGTACTATATGACAGATATGGGGAACCTTTTACAGACAAGTTGGACAAATATTGGCAAACTAATATATCTCACAATGATAGACTTCTATCAAAAAAGAAAAAGTGAAATAAAATCAAAATGAGCTTTAACAAAAGTATCAATTTGTTTCATACACTTTGCAACCAGGGAATCATAGATTTTTGGTTTATTTTCAATATCTTAATTTCCCCCCGTCCAAAAAAAAAAAATAACTGTAAGTTTGCTTCAAGTTAAATTGTGCAAAATATATCCCTAATAAATTCCTGTTTTTATTTCTTTCCTGTAATGAATCATTACTCATATTGTACAGGAGCCATTTTAATTGTTACTCGGCTTCCCTGCAATAACTGAGATCAGGTGGCAATCTCTAATGGATAAGAATATGTGAGCGTTCATTTATCTTGTAGATTATAAAACATTTAACAACTATGAAGAGACAATACTCAATAGCATGGACACCATATGGTTCACAACATCCATCTAAACCCCTAGAGACTATGATTATGCGTGCTTCATCATGTAATTTCAGGTCGAACAGGTGATAACCATGCATTCATACACATTTAGAACACACTTTTCTAAAAGCATCCCACTGCTGCTGCAAACATCTGTGTTTAGTCACAGCACAATACACCTGCTTATATGACACACACACACATTGTGTTTGATACATTAGTCATCTGCCTGCACAATTTACATTTGGTCAGATTCACACGCATTATAAATAACCCAGCAGCCTGCAGCAGGGCTGTATCACAGAGCGTCGGTTTTCATTGGCTGAGCTCGCTCGCTGCACATTCTCAGGCTGCTGAGAGCATGTGGGCACGTCTTTAAATTGCCTTCCCAGCAGCACTGCGTTAGCCTGTGCTGGTTAGCCTTGTGCTTGTTTGACTTTGGTGGGAAAAACATCCAGGTGCATTTTGGGTGACTGTTTTCATTTCGTTCCTTCTTTTTCAGTGTTACTGTGGATGTAATCTGGGGAGTGAGCAGGTATTTTTGGGCAATGGGGGGGCTTCAACAGACAGACGAGCAGAGGGAAAGACAGCATGCTTCAAGGTCAGGCTGCAGAGCTTCTCGCTCTGCATGAGTCATGCATATAGTCATCTTTGAACAACAGACATTTAGCCAGACAGCCTATCACACACTGCCATCGTTCACACGCTTTGAGACAATTCACAAATTAGTACAATTAAATATGCAGAAAATAAAGATCCAGACTTATTTACACAATACGGCCTTAATGAAGCACAATAGGATAAATGGATCCTTTCATGCAGTTATCATTTTGCTTTTGGCCACTGCTGTGCAGAGGGAAGGCAGTCCTACCCAGGGCCACTCTGGCAGCAGATGCATCATAGTTGATCCAGAAGGAGACCCAGGAGAGGATGGTAATCAGGATGGAAGGCATGTATGTCTGCAGGATGAAGTAACCGATGTTCCTCTTCAGTTTAAAGCTGAGAGACAGGCGGGGGTAGGAACCTGAAGGAGGCACAGAGAGAGAAGCAGAGTCTTCTACAAGATGCCAACTTTGTCCTTCTCAACAGAGTAGAGTCAGACAGAAATCTTCATTTAAATTCCACTTTTATTTTTATTTTATTTTATTT